AATATGAAATCATTAGGGTATAATATCAAATCGAATGGCAAACAAGCTGATGACTTGGTAATGATAGGATCATGTGTGAAAAATGTCACTGAATTATTTATAAGGTATTGTGTTTTTGGTGTGGGTGGAAATGTGTAACAAAAGGGACAACATAAGATAATTATCTGTGTATAAATAAAACTCAAGTTGTACATTATACAATTAAGGCCTTTTCTTTGGTCAGTTCAATGATTTATCCACCTGAAGAGTACAATATTCTCTGACCTCAAAAAACAGCCTGAGATATCTAATATTTTTTAAGGTTAAGCACTTTTGAATTATCTCCCTTTTCCAGTAAAATTAGCATAAACATCTTATTGGACATCAAAATATTATATTGATTAATTGTAAAAAGCAAATAGTTGTGCTGTATTTAAAATTGCAAATTTTAAAAAAATGTTTTGAAATTCATTTTACATGCACGCATCAAGGACATATTTTGGACAGTGACAAAAATAGTGGAATTGCTCTTTTTTGTTTGAAACTTATCCATATTTTTCAGACATTAATAATAATTAACACAAAAATGTTTTATTCTTTCATAAACCATAGGGTATCATGTCTATGAAACTAGCACATCTTTTTGAGTTGGCTGTTTGGTTCTTATATTTTTTTTAAGTTGTTAAATTCATTCGTTAAGGCAAATAGACGTCTATTATACCTCTTCCTTGCTGACGTGTTCACTCCAACACTGGACGTCTTTTTCCCCACATTCGAAAGTCGAAGAATTCGAACACATACAGGAACCAAAACTTTAAAGTCATTTATGTGTTATTTTTTTCTCTAATCCAGTAGAATATATAGATTATGGGGAAAATTCCGAAAAAAAAAAAACTGTTCAGGACACTTTTACACTGTGTCATAACCTGTTTCAACATTCAGGGGATTTTGGCAATTTAAAATGTTGATTAAAGGCAATCAATGGTTATCGTTAGAAATAACACTGCATGCCGCTGCGTTCTTTGGACAATTTAAATGATTTTTTTGAAAGTAATGAATAATTCCTCAAAGGTCACTTGAGGTATTTAAATTACTGATTATGTTTTTTTGTTTTTGTTTTTTTTTTTGTTCTGAAGGTATTATTTTCCATAGTCGTTTCAAACATTGCGTTTGTTTTGACAAGATGTATTTGAAGATTCTTCATTATGTTATATATATATTTTTTTGCGTGTTGCATCAAACAGTGTTCATTTTGAAGAAAATAAGTATCATTATTCAACATCTTCCGGATAAAAATACGGGTTGGTCATCTGATCAAATTCCATAAAGCAAGAAGGTTTATGGAAGATTTGATCAAGTACGAAACGGTATTTATATCAAGATAATTGTTTTAAAATAATACCTTATTACTTATTTTTACATTTGTGATGTTATTTTTTTTTTCAAAATGTAGCGGCATAAGCTTAATCCATTGAAAGCGCGTTTACAGTTAATGACGTCAGTGAAATATATGACGTGAGAAACCTGAGTTTATACATTGTCAGAAATATTTAAAGATCAAGTACGATACAAATAGATAATAAAAATGTTTTTAATACATTAAAGCACTTAATGAAAGCTTATGGCTGTGTTTGTTTGAAATAAATCCAGATATTGACGCCAAATACCTGTTCAAATTTCGTTATTTATAGACACGAGCGATGAAGTTATCGTTCCTTTTTTATGACTTTATCGGAGACAAATGCTGCAGGCTCTATTCTATAAAAAGCTGATAAACTGCGAGTTTCAATGCTACCATGATAGTGATGGTGAACAACCGGAGATAGACTTGAGTCTAAAGATTCAACCATATATGTTTGAGCCCATTACAAAGCAAACAGATGGTATGATAGGTCTACATGGATATGTTGTCGAAGTTAGGATCCGAGAATAACAAAACTAAAACGGGGAAATTCTCTAAGGGCCAATGATTGACATTGTTTTTCAAAGATAACCTTTGTATTAAAAATGAATTAAAAACAATTATTAAAAAAATGAAGCATGAAAACTGATACTTTAGGACATATTTTGCATCCATGTGGATTATGTTTCTAACGCTCGTTAAATTACAAATAAACTAGTATATTTTATGGTAATATTTCATTTATACTCGATGAATATTGATTTTAAACACTCCAACATATCTCATTATTTAATCAAAAAGACAACGTTTCAATTGTTTGGAAATTTAAAAAAAAGAAGAAGTTTAGTTTTAATGTTCAGAAAACTAAGTAAAACAACTAGAAAATCCTTCCATACATTATTCATAAAGCCTAAATTTGAAAAGAAGACTGTAAAAGAATGTATGACTGGTGGAAATACACAAATTATTACATAACTGTGACGTTCAAAAACTTGGCATTCTCTACACGATTTAAAATCAGCAAATCAGCATGGTAAAAATTATGATAATAATAATTAAAAAATAAGGAATAATAATGAATAAAATTGTGATTGTCAAAAATTTATACAAATGTCCCGAGAAATCCCTCGGACCATCCCATCCCCGATCTTCCAATGCATTATGCATATATTTGTACAGATTTTACATGTAAATATTCATATATGTTTTGTTTTATTGGCCTTGCACCAATGACCACATGTGACTTTTCCTCATTCCCATAAGAACTTGACGTAGCGGAAAACCTTGAAGGTATAAGCAGGAGAGCAGATATTAACAAGAACAGTAGAATAACAGGCACTTAACGTTACATATGTTTCTTATTTAAAAGGTATAACCCCATACCTAATAATATTTTAGGTATGGGGTTACATCTATGGGGTTATTTTTTTAATAAGAAAAATATGTAACGTCAAGTGCCTGTGATTAGAATTTAGAAGAAAATCAGAAACCAATTGTTGAATATTTCTTTTTATACAAAAATTTGTCAGTATTGCTCAACAGCGGCCTTTGTTCAAATTTTGTCTCATTGACAACTGATGTTGATCCGTCGTAAAGCCTCGTATAATCTGTTTCATTTTAGTTTTAACGCATCTTTCGAATTAGATGTATCTACCATCCTTTCCAAAAATTGTTTTAATACATGTAATAGATTTACACTGTACTTAGTACATTGGATTGAATAATGGTTTTGGAAATAGTTATATGGGTTTATGGATAGATAATCTGGTCCAATAAGGAATGGAAAACCTTAAGGGTAAGAGCAAAATAAAAGTATAAAATGTTAAGTTTTGTGTGTAGTAAATCTGAAGAAATAAGACACCTGGTTTTTACTATCAATGGAAACTTAGGGGAGAAACACGGTGCAGGTAGAAGCAGGCCAGTCCCCATCTCTAGATAAGAGAAAATTTAAGTACTGTGTGATATACCCTCAGACAGAGGTGTCTTAATAATCATTCGACATTAACTCAGACATATAAATATAGTTGTATATCAGTTGTCTATTAAATATACTTAAAGTTGCACAATAATGTCTATCAAACATATGTAAAATTTCAGTGAGGAGCATACTTTTACTAAAATTTAAATTTCTTTCTTTCAGGATATGGTCCAGATCGAACTTAAAAGCAAAAACACATGTATCAGAGTAACTGGTGTCATCTCCAATTTTAAGTTCAGGTGCATTTGTTGTTACAATTCAGCATTTCTCACATTCTAAAGGAAACTGAAATTTTAAAAAGTCTTCTGTTCGGTAGTTTTCAATATCATTCTTGTACATTGGAAGTGGATTACTTCCTAACTCCTGACAGTCATGAATGGAAACAAATCATACACTGTATGTGTTGCTAGTGAAGGACTTGCTAAACGTTAATAAATTTGATGAACCTTTTGTTACTGATGTGGGGAGAAACTGCTTGCTGAGCTGATTAATATTGAAATTAACTATAATAAATGATTATGTTTAAGCATACATGTATATTTAATTGAAAATTCTTTATGATAAATCTATGTTTAAATGTTCAGTGATGTTATTGATAGTTGTTCCTTTCTTGTGATATTGGTACCTTTGAAGTTAAATATTTTGTTATCTATATATGTACATATCAGTGCATTAATATGCTGTATTTCTAGAAAACTTATCAAATACATTCAGTTTTCTTGTAACCGTTTATCATGTAAACAATTGTTCTGGAACCAATGTTGTAGAACTAAACATGTTAAGCAACTTAACACCTGAAGTTAAAATGTGTTTAGAAATGAGACGTGTTTAGAGCTAAACGTGTAAAAAAAGTGAAACAAATTATGTGTTTAGCTAAAAGTGTTTAGAGATTAAACATGTTTAGCTACTAAACACATGAAGTCTACGTGTTTAGAAATGAGACATGTTTAGAGCTAAACGTGTTAAAAAAGTGAAACAAATTATGTGTTTAGTTTTGTGTTTAGAATCTAAACACTGTTTTTACAGTGTAAGCATTTTCATTTAGTAAAAATGCTTCTTTGCTTTAATTTAGTTCAGACAAGCAGATCTCGTATGAGATTTTTGGTGACATTGTTAGAACAGGATAAATCGAACACTTTTCTTCATTCTCCGAGTACAAAAAAATTAGCGTAAATCCTTTAGTGGCACTTTTTATCTTTTTTAAACAATAGAATACAAGATTATATAAAACAGATAATATTTTGTTAAGTATTGTACAGTTAAAAATAACAAAAATATTAAAACAGATATTTTTTAAGTATTGTACAGTTAAAAACATCAAAAATAACATTGTGCACGAAACATACAAATATATCAATAAAATCCTGATCTATTTTAAAATTATTGATCTTTCATCTTGTGTAATACTCCAGAACAAATGATACTGACAAAGATATGAAAGCATAAACAAACTTTTCTTGGAAAAAATGAAAATGTAGCAGCGAAATCAATAAAAGAAATACATATTTAATTGTTTATAAATTCCTTAATTTAAACATTAATTGTTTAGAAATGTCTAAATTTAATCATACAAAAACATTTTAATTGTATGTATTGTTACATTATATACTCATACTAATGATAACATATCCCTTCTTTCTATTACATTTTATTAAATATCTCAAATGCTGTATTCCTCTGGAGATGTATTCTATAAATCCTTTGTTCATTGGCAAATTCTAGTTCCTGTACTTTGTTAAAGCATCCTGAAAGCAAAAAACAAAAGCTGAATTCCTTTCTCTTTAAAGTGCATTTTATGTTTGATTTGTAATATTGAACTTACCTCTACATTTGCCTCTACACCTCCTGTTCCTTTTTAAACAACAGAAAAATCGATATGGAAGAAAAAGATTTATAGGAGATGGCACTCTCCACACATAGTCGTTGATGACAGTGCATGTGTTGAATCTCCAGAATGTTTCAGCATTTTCTTGCACCCTTGTAAACGTATTACTATAAAGAGAAATTTTCAATTATCCATTCACGCATTAAATATCATAAACGTTATATGTTGTCCTATTTTAAGTGTAGCCCATACATTGCATGTGCATTGTGTAGGGTGAATGTATCCTATCTGATAACAAAAAGGGACTGGAACTATATTTGCTACGCTACGCATACCACTTCCTAAAAATGCCTGTGAAGGGAAGTATGTTTTATAAACACATCCTTTCGAAGACAGAATGAATAAACCGTAAATCAAACCCATTATAAAAAAATTATCCTCGATTTTCATTCAAACAATTTGAGAAATCGAGGCTGCGGGTAGATTTAGTTTTACATTTTTTTTTTTTTAAATTCTTCGGTTATACAGTTTTTGTAGATTTGATCGGACAGTACAGATTAATCTAATATGCCCGACTAAAAGCCATAGAAAAGGTCTATTTATTGCTCAGGACACATCCTCAGCCATCTTTCAAAACTAATGATCCTTGATTACAAATGTAATACCTATCACAGCAATTCCAATCTTGTCATCTGTCAAAATCACGCTTAAATTCACGGGAAATAAAAACGAAAGTTGAATTATAAGTCGAAAAGCGCTCAGAAGAAAGACGACCCCCCCCCCCCAAAAAAAAAGGACCCGGAAATTTAAAAAAAGAATCGTGACGAGGGTAAAAAAAAACGGGGTTGATGAAGGCGGGTGATGTGAATCTAGGATTTCTTTTATTAGGACCTAATAAACGGATTCATGAAAGCAAGGGCGCTTTTTGGGTAAAAGACACAATGTAATAAAACGTTTAAAAGAATTCTATATAGGTTTATACACCTAGGGGTATTTTACAGTAGGTCTGCCTGAGATTTTGCACATATTTGTAAAATATAATAGAGAGTAATGAATTTAAGAAAACATATATGACAACATCAAATGATGTTTTCATCGCAGATACACATTGTATCAGGTATGTTAAAAATTGCATTAAATAACATTGTTAATTTTTTTTTTAATTAAATTGCATAATTGATATTTTACAAACAAAATATTTTTTAAAAAAAATACATACTACTTAATCCACAAAACCTTTTTGATCAAATTTTTAAATCTCGACATTTTATGCGATACACTCAGCTATGCTACGCAAATTAAGACTATGAATTCATAAAGTAACATACAAGTATATGTATAATGTAATAAAATGTAAAGAGAGAATATTACGCATGAATACTGTGCCGTTTTTCTTCTAATAACAAAAAATGCGTTGAATTACATTTCAGCTGTTTTTTTCCCAACTTTTCATAAGCGTACTGAAACACAATATAAGCAATAGTTGACATCAGATTATTAATACGAACAAGTTTTCATGACTTCACATATATATCTACTTCTTAAGCGTAATTATTCAGAAGAAATCTATCAATCTAAAACAACCTTGCCGTATTGATGCACAAAAGTATAAAGCGTGGAATATATATTTTTTTTTTTTAAACTTGCTTTTAGGCTGGCGTAGATCGAAAAATTAAGTATTCTTCCGTATTAGTTCATGTGAATATAAAAAAAAATTGTAGCCTCCCCCCACTCAAACCCCAACCGACCCACCCCCACCTCCGAAAAAACAAGGAACAAAATTTAATTTTAGATTTAAACAAAAGTTACCTAAACATGGCAATAACAAGATTCACTAAGACCAGGTTGGAGAACAGCACGTAGATAGCGGCTATGGCGGACACAGTCCAGTCTTCCTCGGGACAGCGGTCTATGGAGGGATCTGTCTTCCAAACGCTCGACACGTTTGTACAGCTAGTTTGGATACCTCCTGCATTATTCAATATTTATTAAAACATAATTACAATTATCAATTAGGCCCACGCTTGCCCGTGTATGATAATTCTTAATCCAGGTATTAATTTAATGAGTAACAAATGAGTAATAAATTTTAAAAAAAGGTATTTACTGAGTTAACGCATTTCATGAACTACAGAAGCTACATACTTGGTATCCACGCCAGTATTGTGACGCCATGTTATGACATCATTATTTCCATTTCCAATAAATTTCCCCAATGATTCTTTACAAAATAGAATACAGTTCATTTTCTCATGAACTACCATGAATGAGCATTAATATCTCCATAGTTACGTCATAATACCGAATTCGACGTCAAAACTACAGTGCAAACTGTTTTGCTTTAAAAATGATAGTTGAATGGCGTAGCCCGTGGTTGCTTGATCACATAAAGTCTCCTTATCTTGATTTATCACACCATATGTGTGACGCCATATAACAAACCAACGTGAATCAATGTATTTATTTCAATTTATTTTACCGATAAATATATATATATTTTTTTAAAAACTGCGATTTGATCAGATGTTATTTTTTCGACTTTGCTATGCTCGTACAGTAAATACATGTATTTTCCGTTGAGAAAGTTTGACATACCTTCCAAATATTTGTTGTTAGTCTCGCCGTGTAACTGCCAATAGGGATAATAAATTATTTCCCAAATTCTCCAGTCGACCCAGTTTCCGCTCCAGATGGTAGAGTGATCTGGCCACAAGTTAGCGTGGTAGTACATTCCTACCCCAAGTACGACAAACACAGCGAGAGCAATGAAGCGGGTGAGATCTATCAGCTACAAAAAATAACATAAACTCTTATTTGAACAGAATTTCAATTCTAACTAAAGCTTTCGGGGTACGTACTTATGAAGTGGGTTGGTACGTTATCAAATCTACCGAGAAGGTCTTCAGTTTTCATTGAATGTGATCACATGACCATCCAACTTTATTTCCCTGTGAAGTTTTTATTCCTCTTGTTTATTTCTTTAATTGAAGAAATTGTTGATAAGAAAGAAAAAAAAAACTTTTTTTAATTTTCCTGAGGAATGGTTGGATAAAGTATAGAACAGTGCTTTGCTTTGGTGTAATTGACTTTTGAATCTTTTTCGTTTTTAAAATTTCTAACTTTACAATCTTTGAGGATCCACATCTGATATACATCACTCTTAGAATATGTTGTAGCACAGAACGTCTGAAGTTTTTTTTCTTTGCAACAGCTAATACTTTTGTAAGGAGTAATGATATGGCTTGGTGGAGCATTTGCAATTTTATTATTTTTTTATTTAATATCAAAGAATTCTTTAAAGAAATTTGAAGATATCTATTGGAAGAATGTAATTTGGGAGCAGAGCACGCATGGACATCTAAAAGCATTGGAGGAGGGATCAGGCGCCGAGGAAGAATAAGCATCGGCTGTCGACAGGTAACACTTACCGGTTTAAATCCAGAAACACCACTTAAATTTACTTTAAAATTTTTGAAATACTACAAAAAGGTTACTAAACCGTCCAAAAGCAATTACTATATTACAGTAAATGGAGAAAGTTTCTGAAAGAAGTTAATTTTAAGTGCCTGCTGTATGGTCCCGAAAATGTTAGTAAATGGTCGCTAGAAGGCGGATTACTGCCTTTTGATATATTGCTGCCAAACAATGACCAAATGGACATTCATTGACTTTTTGTTTTTCTAGGAAAGTTTTTAGCTATTTCTATATTTTATAAACGGTATTGAAATGTACAAAATTTGCAATCCAGTGTAATAACTACCAACAAAAAGTAAAAACTATGACAAAATATTAGTAATTTAAGTAGTAGTTACCCTATATAATACTGTTGGTTATGTCCAGATACCGGATGGGCGTGGTCTTAATGACACGAGGGAATGTAGCTCCCGAGTTTTCATTATGACCACGTTATCACTTGTACCATAGTTTACCAAAATTGATTTCTTTTTATTTAAGTCATAAATGTAGTACGAATTTATTTTAAATGACTTGCAATGTGCTTGATTTTAATGATACAGGTCATTTTGGTTTTAATTTCCGAATCCCTGTACTTTCTACTTTCAAATAACAAGATTAATTAATTTAAAGCCTTTTCAATTTAGTTTTATACTTTTATAATTCAAATAACATTAAAGTTTTTTTTTTACATTTACAATAGATATAATTAAAACGTATTTATTTTAGCACGTTTTTGGTTTCCAAGTTTTCTTGGTTTATAATAGATCAATAATAGAATCATTTATAAGAGATACGAACAATTTCATTAATACAAAAATTTCTGAGTATTAATTATGTTATGTCTTCATCGATGAAAATAAATATGCAGTTTGAAAGAATAAAAAAAAAAATTTTCTGCATTTATCAACAATACAGCGTCTTTATGAAACGTTAGGATTTTAGATTATAAAAAATGATCCTTCAGTGTTTCGTAATTTTCTATTGAATTTGGTACATCTAAAACAGATGATTATTAATTTAAGGGTTTTTTTTATCCCTATAGGATTTAATTCTCTATCCTTAAATATCCTTCACGTATAGAATACTATGATATTAATTGAGAACATTTTACAGAAGAAAAGGATTTACCAAGAGAAAGTTTCAAAAATGTAATTAACTAAGCAGTAATTAATTCACAGAAATTGCATTGAAGTCTATAGAGACAAGCGATCTTTTAAAATAGAAATTCAAATAATAAGAACATCAATAAATGCTGTGGTGGAAAGATACATTAAGTCATTAGAAATAGAATGGCAATTGAAAACAATTTTTTTCCCGTATAGATTTTTCAAAATTTATTTTTTTCAACATAGGTCAAGGTCATAAATTAGGAAACGTTCCATTCCTACATGCTAATAGTAATAAATGGGAATTATGTCAAAATATACTGAATATTCCACCCGTACACAACTGTTATGTATTCATTTTTTTTTAATCTGAGGCTATTAGGGATGGAATACCTTAAAATGTGGCTTGGCCCTACGTAGTGTTCTTTTGTCCTAACTCGATGGACGGAGTTTACAGAAAAGTGTGGGTTATGTACAGATATCCCACTTTTAGTGAAAGAAATCACACCTAACTATGGTACAACTCTCTATTTATTAGACTAAGGCTATAGATAACTGTGACTTACCATTTCTTTTATCATAATAAGAAAAGGTCCCATAATTCTGTACACCCTAAAAAATTCCAGGAATCTCAAGTACATAACAAGGAGAGTCAGGGAAAATATCCTCCTTGCTGCAGTAAAGTCAGTGGATGAATAATAATGCCGTAGAATCAACGCTGTAAACATTAAGGCATAGGAGAAAAAGTCCACCACATTCCAGAAGTCATGCAGGTGCCTCCTCAGTCTGGAATAATATCTCTTGTGTGATCGATCTCTTGCTTCTTGACAGCCCTAAATATATAAAATATAAAATATATTATTTTCTTGGAAAAATTAATTATGGAAGTATTTAAATTGTTCAAGCATTTGTTTCATGCAGGAAGAAATATTATTTCAGAGATATTTTCACTGAACTTGACATCACATAACAACCATAACTGATATTTCATCAAAGCTCTCTGTAAAGCTTGATGCATTTAACCTAGCAAAAAGTTGGTAAATAAAAAAAAAAACACGATAATGCTTAATGCAACGGTTGGAAACTTTATGTTTGAAAATTGATATGGAGGATATTAAAACAAGTATATCAGAAATTTGGAATAACCTTTCAGAAATATGCAAACAAGGCAGTTAACAATTCGTAAGAAGCGTTTGTAACCTTCCAACCGTGTTTTTCTCTCAAAGTATCAATGAAATTTCAGAACTGGAATACATTAATTATAAAGATCCTTCAGTATTAAAATGATACTCTTCCGAAGAATTGCATAATCGCAGGTATATTAAGGCAGTACCCAGATCATTTTTCGGCGAATTTAGACTTTTTTCGTAAAATGTAACATTGATAAATCGGAAAGCCATAGATAAAACATTTACTATTATTATCCATCGCCATTGAGTCTTAGGCTAAAAGAAGCACTCCACTAAGATGTCATCACATGACGTCTATAAATAGAAAATCTGCCTTAACGAAAAAGTGAAAAGTTCAACACTACCCCGGGGATAAATTATCTCTTTTTGTGAAATTTATTATGTAAAAACATCACTGGGCCATGAAAAGTGCTGCTAGAATCCTACTCTCCCGAAACAGAATAAAATATTCCAAAGATTCGCATGAAACCTTACCAAAATTTTCACATTTTGTACTTACTATCAAGGAATTGTCATCAATTCATATTAACCACACGATTCTAGCAGTACTTTCCAAGTACTATAGAATACAAGCTTTCGATACAAACAAAATTTATGTTTCAAAGTTTGCGGCGTAGTGTTGAACTTTTGCATCTTTGTTGTTAGAACGACAGAGGAAAGACTGATCGGGATTTCAAAACACTGCCTGTGTTCATTATAAGAAAACATGATAAGTATAAATCAGCGTACCTGATTCTTAATCTTTAATTCCTTGTGAATCACACATGACATTCACAGTATATGCTTTAAAAGTCCCATTTCATATATTTGTTTACATGAATTCTCGTTACGTTTCATTTTCACTCGACAAATACTTGATCAATAGTTATGACGTCATGGGTTTGGTATTTAACCCCCAAGATAAATACTAAGCTATATATACCACCCCAAAACGATAAGATTTAGTTTATATTATGTTTTTTGAATGATTCCATTCACTTCTTGGACCTGAAATTAAACTTTAAATATAGTTATTAAGAAATAGTTATCTCTAAAGTTCACGTCATACAGCTTACTATGACGTCATACTGTATAGGCAAGCAGGATATCTGAGTGTAGCCTTAACATACCTGCGATATTTCTTTTTTCTTCTAAAGCTTAGTCTTAATCTGACCCTTTGGTTTGCTTTTGAAATAAATCTAGATGTTATAGAATTATATAAATGAAATTGTTAAGACTTTATTGTTTGTTCAAATATATTTTTCCCATTGCGGTCCACCATACTTCTCGGTGAAAATGATTGAATAATATAAAACCTACACTACCTGAAGATGAAGGCATATAAATATGGTATAGATAGACTTGAATAGAGTTCCGAGAATGATTGTTTATCAGTATAGCCAATCAAAGCCATTTGCTGTGTTTGATTAAAATATTTTTAAAATTTCCCCTTTGTATTCAATTAAAAGGGGCCGTCACGGTAGCTCAGTCGGTAGAGCGCTCACTCCGTGATCGGAAGGCCGTGACTTCGAATCTCGACCGCGACTGACCTAAGTCGAAAAAAATAGGTAGCAACTATTCCTTCGTCTGGCGCTAGGCACTTTGAAGTGAAAGTCGAGGGTCCTTTGGATGAGACCTTAAAAACCGAGGCCCCGTGTCACAGCAGGCGTGGGCCCGATAAAGATCCCTCACTGCTCAATGGCCCTGAGTGCTGAGTAAAGGTATAAATTAAAGCCCTTCACCGGTATATGATGACATCTCTATATGAGTGAAAAATTTTCGAATGGAACGTAAAACAACATACAATCAATCAATCAATTAAAAGGTTTGGTCTCCTATGATGATAACAATTTGAAAGTGGTAAGCCTATGGCTGTGATTTGAAATATTCAAATTTGCACTACATTTTGATGCTTTAAAATAGATATGACTAACAATGTCCTGAAGATTTTAAAAACTATATACTTACTTGACAACACCATATTATTTTTTTTTCTTAATTGCTCCCCAAAACGAGAAAATCCTAATTCTTTGAGTCTAAAGGAATTCAAAAGACCTCTCTTGGACTATTGTAATTGTTTGATGTTTTCAGCCAGTATATTGTGACATTACATCAATTTTACAAAAGGCTTTCTCGATTCACTAAACTTTGTTTTTTTTTAACTATACTAGCAATATATTCTTACTCCAGAATTTTAAATCACCAATACGAAATAAACGCTTCGATAATTGTTATGTCCAGGCTTAGCTTTATAATAATACACATATCTAAAATAAATTATATGATAAATCCCGTAAATTTATTCCAGAAAGATTCAAAAAATATTTATTAAATTGACCTCAGTTGAGAAATTCACATTGTACATGCATACACTGCGCATGAAGGACATTGCAAAATGCAGAGCACCAAAATGGATATCAATAGATGTCTCGAACTCTTAAAGTGGACTAAAGAGATATATACTCATTCAGAAAGGTTTGCTAGTTTGATATCCTTTCAATTATGAAAATTATAATCAAAAATTTCAATTACAAAGCAGATTATAAGTTCTTCAAGTAGGTCCCCAGCTGCCCAAATGTAGACATAATACTCAAATGCTTTAGTTGTGCCTATTGAGTAGTATTCCTTTCCAGTGCTGGTCAACACGAAGGCGCTGTACATCACTATTGTGATGAAGAAGATGAACTGCAAATAAAGAGTATAAACAGGAGTTAAATTCCATTTATATTTCTCTGAAATTGGTTGTAAATTATATTTCATAGATATCGAAAAAGGTTATGAAAAAAGTAATTAATAATCTAAACATGACTTAAATTGGCACTCAACAACTCTTTTTAATTTTACAATCTCATTAAAACACTTATTCCAGTTTCATATTAACATGTTTTATCCATACTTTCTTAGAATTAGAATACCTTAAGAAATGAAAATCCATTTTATGTATGAAACTATTAATAGCCTATGAAATGTTAAATTTGTAAACAGGGCATAGGAAACGGACCCCGAATATTCCAGAGGTAGGAATAGATTATAAATATATAGGACTAAAAAAATGTATAAAACACTTCTACAAAAACAGGAAGGATTGATAGTCTATATTTGTTAACAAGAACATTATAACTACTATAATTTTAAAAACAAATGCAGATATTTTTAAATATACAGCATTTTAATCCTAGCTCTTACGTACTATCTGCAAGTTTAAAAGTCCGCACTATTTGAAAAACAATTTAGTTCAAACTATTCTGATGTGGATTTTTAGAACAATTATTTAGATAGAGATTAATACATTTAGGAATTTTCAGTGTGAAAAAAGGTCATTGGCAAGAAACTTTATGGACAGCTTTGTACAAGAAGAAATTCCAAGACTACATTACTTTATACATATCAAACATACGTAATTTATCGTGTATTTTGTGACAGGAGCATTGAAAAATTGTCCTGGTTTTCGAAAGGCAGACTGAAAAGAAAAAAAAATGATTTTAATTTCATAAATTTACTGGAAAAAATAGTGAACGTCGCTTACCTTAACATGAACATGTTTTCAGAATCACTTTCAACATTTTACTTTTTTTCAAAATATATCATTAACATGGCCTAGACCAATTTAAAAGTGCAAGAGCTCTTGATTTCCCCTAAATTGACATGTGTTATATTCCAATAACATTCAGTGAAATCTGCATGTTATCTTAAATTATTTATTTAAAATTTGTAATAAAATTGGCATTATTTAAAGTCAAGAATTACTTCATGATTGAAAACAAAAATTTGTTCACTTGTATTATCATTTACATTATCGATATTAGAAAAAAAAATATACAAACTTTCATAATGGTGCCCTTGTCCGGACCTAGATAGTTGTACCACTTATTGTTCATGCTTATATAGGAGCAATTGTGAGCCACAATATCATACATAAAGTTTTCATGAGCAAAATCCAGGGGACTGGTCTTTATACCCCATATACTGACGTCTTCATCCATCAGATTTATTGCATTTTGTTCATCCTCCTCGTACATACAGTCCATCATTGCCAGACACCTATCTCTAAATATCCTTATAAAGAAAAAAATTAGCATTATTAACTTTCCATTTTTGGGTCTTAAGATTACATTTTTTTAACGTATAAAGACATATAAAAATATAGAAAATTCGCCAGTTATGAAATTAAGAATATTAATAATATATTAATCAACCGGAATGTTAATAATGTTGTGCATTCATATAAGGATATTAAAATTCTGAAACGGATTCCTAATTTGACGCATTAAACTTAAGCTAACAAAAAGAGAGCCAAAATGCTGGCATTCCGCCGAAAATATTTCTCACACATTAGATAATTGATTCATAGAATGTATGTTAATTTACGTCCAGATCGAGAATTTCCACTCATCTGCCTTAGGTGAAGAGCCACAGATTTTCAAGATTGCATGGCGCTTAATTTTTTATCTACTGAAGGTCCTTCATTTGCCGACGCGTACTGTCACAGAACTTTGATTTCTAAAGATTCCCTAAAATGTCAAGTACTTTGACTTCAGATCTAGGTGTTTTGCGAAATAACAGGCATTACATATCTGAAATGTCTCGGATCTGACAACAGGCCAACAACGTCATTCGACGTCCAGTCACAGACAGAGCTGCAAATATAACACTGATGCAGTGTTTACAAAATATTAACTAGGAATTTTCACTTAAATTGCATCTACAATTGTCGTTAAACATTAAAATTTAAACCAACATACATCTTTCCATGAAGTTCAACTTCCCCTTTAGTTCAACGAAAGCATAGGGGTGATATTGTAATCATCTCAACACTTTAAAGCGTTCATTTGGTTATCGTTGGCTGCAGCTAACCTAAGTCGATAAAAATAGGTATCAACTGTTCCTACCCCAAGCGCTCGGCACTTAAAAGTGAAAGTTGCGGGTCCTTCGGATGAGACTTTTAATAATAAACCGATGAACCTTGTGACGGCGTTGGAACGATAAGAATCCCGTACTGCTCAATGACCCTGAGTGCCGTGTATGGGTCTTATGATAAAGCCCTTCACCGTTATATAGTCACGTCTCTCTATGAATGAAAATTTTTCGAATGGGACGTAAACACCATAATCAATCAATAAATCAATCAATACTTTTTACCATTGATTCTTACTATTCAAATAATGTTAGTTCTGTTATAAATTATAATAAATTATAATAAACAATTGCGAAACCCCAAAAATGGAACTTACTTGGCATGATCAGCAAATTCTTTCAAAAGATTTTCATTTTTCATATTTTTCGCCTTTGCAGACATTTTTTTCAGCACTCCAGCACAAGCTAAACCTATAACTAAGATAGATGGGTTTTTTTTGTATTTAGTAACATTGATATATTAACAAAGAACTGGATTATATGATTCAGTTCCTTTTGTCACCCATATATATTCTTTTATTTAGCTAAATATACAGCATGTATTGTAAGCCATCTTTTTTTTTAAATGGAGTCTATGATATGTTTTGATTTATTATCAGCTAATTTAATATCATTTTTCCTATAAAAAAAATTCCAGAGACACCATTTAATACCTACACAAGTGATTTTCTGTTCGAAGCCAACACATTTCAGCGATTTCCCTCCTATTTGCAAACATCGCCCAAAGCAAGATATCAGAGGATTTCACGTAATAAAAATCTTCACATCCCATTTTTTCAAGTCCTGCAATATCTTCGATCTCTTCCAGTTCTATCAAAAAACATACATGCACATAGACGATTGTTAGAAAAGTATGGGGACAAGTTCTGTTGTAAGTGCGCTGTTTGCATGAAAGTAGTAAAACACTACAGAATAAAAAAAATATGCATATTTTCTTATAAATATGCGAAGATTTGGTGATTTCTGATGATCTTTAAAAATACACAACTGTATAATTTAGATAAAACATTCTTACGGAGCATGTCACTTTTCTCACATTTACTTTATATACACATTTTTGCGAAATTAAAAATGCATTGCTATGGTGCATGAAGACAAATGCTACTTTATCTGTCGCTATAAGATTCATAAAACGTCGTTTTGCAAAATTAAATTGGAGGGGAAATTTGATTAATTTAGATGATCAATGTGTAAAAAAAAAGTTAAGAATGACAACGTCATTCAACGTCTTGGAGCGCCGAGCTATTAAAAATTATGTGTATAGACAGGAAAATGTCCGAAAGAGAGTAAAATGTTTTGAATGCTGCTGGGGACTGCTTACATGTATCTAAGACCAAAGTTATCAAACGTTAGTGGTTTTGTAAGAATGGGAGGATTGACATTTAAATACCCTGCTCATCGTATGAATGTTGAGCCTTTGAATTTTGCATTGTTTGCATAATCACTTAACTGCGTAGACATGGATAATATCCGATACGTACGCCAGGAAAGAATTTCAGAAAAATAGTAACATATCTTGCTATAGAAAACATTTATTTTAATTTAGGAAAAAGACATGCAAAGTCTAGAACTGAAGAAATTTAGAACTGTGAAAAAGCTTAATAGTTTTATATTCCACTTAATAGTGGAATAAGGTTGTTAGATCACCTTAGGCAAAGTGATTGCTACGTGAATCCTGTGACCGTACAGTAAAAATCATTGTATATTTTCGAAATTTTAAGAAATGGACCTGACTTTTTTAAAACTAATAAACAAAGGATAAGAATTTAATTTCTTTAAAATAAGCAATAATTTTTCAGTAATTCAATGTTTACCGGAACTTTTTCAACAACACTCGTATAAATGTTCACTGTTATATAAAGTTATATAAGGCATTTAGTATAATATATAACAAAATTGTTCTCAATGATAAGGTATAGAATACCTCGATGCATTTTGAAGAAGGTGAGAATTTACCTGGGTATCCCATGAATTTCCGAAATAATCGAATTGCAAAAAGAGAGAACTCTTTTTGTGTCTCTTCATCTTGACTTGAATATTCACGAATCTTTTTAACGTCTTCAGAGTCAGCTTGCTAAAAAGGGATGGTTTCAGTAAGAAAAAAACCTATCGTATTTTTGGTTTTTACATGTATGCCTAACATTATTTTATCCTATTCTGTTAATTGCTTAACGTTGACAGAGAAACTATACAACATTATTTTGAAATAAATAACGCATGCTGATTTTAACAAGAGGCCCATGGGCCAAATCGCTCACCTGAGCACATTGGCTTGGCAAAAGCACAAATCAGTTTAGTATTGAAAAGATTACCCGGGGGGGGGGGGGGAGGGGGTGAATTTTAAACTACCTGATGATGCTTCCATGTCAATATAACAAATGGCTTTGTTGTACTTGAGATTTAAAAAAAAATTCCAATATATTCCTTTGTAAAAATTTGATTCCCTATTTTGGCTCCTCCCTATCCTAGGGGTCATCATTTGAACAAACTTGAATCTACACTACCTGAGGATGCCTCCATATCAATATGACTAAACATAGCTTTTCTGTTCTTGAGATAAAATATTTTTTTCTATATGTTTTTATGTAAAATTTTTGATCCTGCATTGTGGCCCGACCCTATCCTGGGGGTCATCATTTGAACAAACTTGAATCTACACTACCTGAGGATGCTTCCATATCAAAATGACTAATCATGGTTTTGCAGTTCTTCAGAAGAAGATATTTTCCTATATTTCTATTTAAGACTTCGATCCTATATTGTGGCCCCACCCTACCCCCAGGGGTCATGATTTGAACAAAATTGAATCTACCCAACATGCAGATGCTTCCATATAAATATGACTCATCATGGCTTTGCTGTTTCTGAGAATAAGATCTTTAAAGGTTTTTCCTATATATTTCTATGTAAAACTCTGATCCTCCATTGTGGCCCCGCCCTACCCCGGGGGTCATGATTTGAACAAAATTGAATCTACACTACCTGAGGGTGCTTCCACATGAGTTTCAACCTTCCTGGCCCTGTGGTTCTTGAGAAGAAGATTTTTAAAAGATGCTATTAATTTTTTCACTAATTCTTTATTATCTCCCCTTGAAAGAGGTTGTGGCCCATCATTTGAACAAACTTGAATCCCCTTCACCCATGGATACTCTGTGCCACGTTTGGCTGAAATTGGCCCAGTAGTTTTGGATAAGAAGATGAAATTGTGAAAAGTTTACAACGACAACAACAACGCCGACGACGACAATGACAACGACGACAGACAACGGACAAATTTTGATCAGAAAAGCTCACCTGAGCCGAAGGCTCAAGTGAGCTAAAAAAAAAAGAAATTAAATGTTTATTTTCAACCTGAAAAAATAAAGCCTGTTATAAGAATGGTTTCAATGATTTTTTATATAAATTCATTTGAAATGAAATAGAATTTTGCATACCATCCTAAATGACGGACAAATATCAGTCATGCAAAATGCAAATTTTGTCATTCCTAATTTTCATTGATCAACGGAAGTAAAACTTTCCGCAAAAGAAATTACACTGACTAGATCAAGTATTAAAACCTATGAATAATTCAAAGGCATTTACGTGTTTTATTGAAGAAACTTTTAGATAGAGTGTATGACCTAGAAAAAAACTAGTACCTTGATAATCCATTGTAAACAGTCATCTGTTTTAGTCTAAAAATAGATTTTATCAACAGCTTATTCACTAACATATAATTTTTCCTAAACATAAAATCAATGAAAAGGATATAAATAAAATGATAATAGATAAATAGATACCAGTTTGCGATGTATGAGTTAATGTTAGGTTTCTATATTTAAAAAACAAATCTTTTCTTATTTTGTGAATTTAAAAAAAAAAAATAGTATCTTTTTCAATGCGTTTGACAACCTGTTCGTATAGTTCGGCTAAATTCAGATGTCCAAACGGTACTCCTTGGTCAAGTAAAATTCGGACGTAATCACATCTATTGGAAATTAATGCTTCCAAAAGCAGTTTCTATAAAGGAGAATTAGAACAGATAAAATGAATAGAAAAACATACCATATTTATGAATATTTCATCAAGACTTAAACCACATATTGCACAAGGTTTGTTTTTAACGACAAGAAAACAATCTCACATGCCCATGTTCTTTTAGCTTTCCTTGCTCCTGCAGGAACTGGTACTCGAAATAGAAGTACAATGGCAAAGAGGTCGGAGAGGAGTACTTTGGGTCTGAAACGTAGGCTATTGGTTCCCTGTACCTCTTTAACATCTCCAGTTGGCTTTTCATTCTTGCTTCTATATCAGAACAATAATTGAAATTCTCGTATCAGTATTTCTGCTCTGAAACATATTTCATGACAACAGATAGGGTTACTTTGTACATATGTCTCTAAAAGTATATTCCTCTACGTTCATAAGGGCAAAATATGTTTCCTGATTATGTCCAGAAGCACACGGCGGATGTGACTTGACAGCAGGGGATGCTCACTCCTCCATGACACCTGATCCTACCTCTGTTGTTTAGAAGTCCGTATTGCTGTGCTCTTAATTTGTATTGTTTGAATGGACGTTTGAGCTTCAATACTGTTCGTAATCTCTATATATTTCATAATATCATTTAAAGTTATTTCTTCATTTTGTCAATGAAGGCTGGGGAATTTATAAGAGTTAGTAGGATAAGGAAGCTTGCCATTATTCATTCAAAAAAAGTAAAACAACTCAAGAAAAAAGAATTTTAAAGTAAATTTTACAAAGTGTGATCTCTAACATGTATAAAATCTGTTTTGACTTGAATACCTGCATTTTTACTCCTTAAAATGTTTTCCATAGCCCAGCAATTAATTATCGCTTTACCAATGATGTTTGAGAGCATCAATGGGTCATCACTGCTAACATCAAAGACACTAATCTGTAAAAGAAGATTTACGTTGAAGGTATTGATTCATAGATATATAAGATAATATATTTTGCCTAAGCCTTGTTACTAATTTATTAATTTTGATTTAAGACAGGGATGGGCACGATTACTGAAAAATGTAATCGATTAATAATCGATTACTTAGAGGAATTTTGTGTAATCGATTATTAATCGATTACACTTTTTTTTGTCCTGTAATCGATTGTAATCGATTACTTTGGAAGATGTAATCGATTAATAATCGATTACTTTTAAGTTTTTATCCCTTCAAATATCAAAGCAATATTTAAATGGTAAATGTTATCCACTGAAGTTTGAATGTGTTCCTGCAGTTTCAGTGCAGATTCTTTTAAGGTTTTATTCTGGCTAACATTCTCACTAAATGCCCGAATGAGGGATTTTCTACCATGAAAAGTGGAGACATGATTCCAACAATAAAATATGCCAAGGAATTAATTATTCCTTTCAACCTTGGATTTGTACCTCCATATTTATTGACTTGTTGAAAAAATTATTTAATATTTTATTGTGAATTACTTCATTAGAAGTATTTGGGCTGCCCATATGTTGACAGTACACATTAAACATTCCAGTACGTGTCTTTTTAAAAAAAAATAAGTAAATTAGAACGAACTCTTAGTAATAAACATGTAAATTAAATGTGTCTTTAAGTAGTTTAACTAATACATGTAGCACAGGTTCATTCTGTATTGAAATAAGTGTTTTGAGAGCTATTAATTCTTTTAATAATATTGTTTGTCTTCAGTGGAATGAAAATTAAACACAAGGTAGTTCACAGTTTACACCTCATTATCTGCAATCAGGGATATGCCTCAGTCAATTAATTAGCCAATTAAGATAAGCAAACACAGTGACACTTACTCCCTCTCTTACAGACACTTATAACCCAGCTCTCACTGATATGAATTAAAGCAACCTTACAATTTTGAATGAAAACATGAGAATGATTTTGCAAATTTTAAAGTTATTAAAACACAAGTTTGAAGTTGTTTAAACATTTTCAGATATGAAGAAGTATTTCCATCTTCTTCTTTTTTCGAGTACAATGTAGCTTATTTACCAAATTATTTATATTTAATACAGCACTTAAATCTGTTTTTGCTATTTATAATTTTCTATTACAAGACAAAGTTTTTCAACATCTGAAATATGAAAAAGGACATGCAGCAAGAGGACAGTTGGTCAAATGTAATATGCACATGAAAAATCTGTATATTTTATTAATAAATGGTTGAAATACACTTCTGAATTATTTAATACTAGACCAGTAGGTCTACAATGCAAATTTTATTGAGAACATTATTAAACTTATGATAAGAAAAGTTAGGAAATCCAAATATTACACTAGGTGGTTTATATTTGATATTTATGTGTGACTGACTGGAAATAATTCTCCAAAATAACATCCATTTATGTAGAAAATAATCGAAAGTAATCGAAAAAGTAATTATAATTACATTGGAAATTTTAGCTGTAATCGATTAAATTACGATTACAAGTAATCGAAAATCTCTTCGATTACAGATTATTGTCGATTACTTAAAAAAAAGTAATCATTACAATCGATTACGATTACTCGATTACGATTACCCCAGCCCTGATTTCAGAGGTAAATAAAACTATTGTAGGATCTTTCCTATTGAGATATTACAAATTGTCAGCAGGAGTAGGTTTGTTACCTTTGGTAGCATTCGGATGAAAACCTTATTCACAGCTTTCTACAAATGTTTTATGACTATTACTATCTGGTATATATTAAATAACTTAGATTTTTCCTTATTATCTGTAACAATGAGAGCTTTCTTTGAGCAACTCCAATTAAAATTAGTGTATGCAAATCTTATGAAATTACAAACCAAATCAAATGCCTGGGCAATCTCGTCTAGGTCCTTTGTCACTCTTCGATTAATATTCTCATCAAATCGAAGTCCCAAAAGAACTCTTGCATTCTTCTTAAAAAGGTCTTTGCTACAAGAATACATTTTTATTCAAAGTCCCTTATAACAGCTTACCTTAAAATTTAAGATAACCTAAGAGAATGATTGTTTTCCCTTAATTAAAGAAAACAAATGTTCAATGAAATGATTTATTTGCGATTGTATATGTGTGTTTTTATAATTTAAAATGTGCCCAAATATACAGGTGATATTGCTTTTTTAAAATAAATGATATTTCGTCAAAATTTCAAAAATGCATTATTCTTTTTTTTATTATAAAAAAGCTTTCCCAAAAGTAATTTTTATTTTCATTCAAATCTGAATCGTCCCTTTAATCCTCTTAAATACGTTTTAACAATTAACTGTCTCCGAAAGTTTCGTTTTTTGCTACTTAACTTGAAAATATAGAGATATTTTAAGATTTCACACACACGTATCTAGATTTAATGTACTCAAGTAAATAAATTTAGATATATTTATTTGGATTTCACATACCTGTATCTAGATTTAGTGTATTTACACATATTTTTGTGATCTCTATAGCAAGTACGCCTTATGAAATATTCAAATGAAAAATAGCTATAATTCTTAAGCTTGTAACTGTATAAGGAGCTATTTTCTATACTTTCAAGTGTTACGTCGTGCGGTTACAGAGTGTCTGGACTGACTTATGGTTAATGACCTCATATATTAGTATTATTCATAAAGTCAAAATAATAGTATTACTTTTTCTCCATAACTGACAACCATCTCAATGTTATCAAAATGAAAAAAAAAGTAATATTTTATATAAAGGTAATTAAAAAAACAAATCTTGAAGGTTTTAGTAATTTGATAATAAAAATGATGTTCTTATGCTGCAATAAGAATTATACAGACTTTTCTATGTAATCCAAAATAAGATCCGTCGCTCTTCCAGATCCCTTGATTAATATGACCGGAATCTTCCTTTTTAAAGCTTCCGCTATGTGTTCAATGGTTTGTATATCACCCTCACACGCCAAAACGACAATTGGAATAGGCAATTCTAAAGTCAGAAAAGATTCTAGTAAGATATAATGCTTATAACGATGTTTTGAAACATTTTCACAACCATGTATACAAATTATTATACATATATTCAAGTACTGACCACTTTTTTCAACGATATTTTATTTCTGAAGATGTCATCTAAGTATTGCTATATTACAAAAAAGTTTCCTTACAAAAAACTAAGGTATTTTACCAGACATTTAAACAAAATATCAAAGGAGAATATAGTCTTTCATTTTTATGCAATAAGTAAGATCTTTAGCGTTCCTTATATCATTAAAGACATGAAACAGTATGTATTTTCTGCATGAAAATAACATTGTACAGCATTGACAAAACTATCAAATTACTTATGTCTATCGTTTGACTGAGGAAAGGAACTTCTTTCTTAGACACGTATTCCTGAAAGCCTTGTAAGAAGGCAATCTTGTCTCTAGGTTCAATGCTGCATTTAGCCTCTGTGGATTCCGTGGTGGTCTGTAATTGAAAAGTATGGTTCTTTTTAACTTTATTCAAAACGGGGGCTTCTTGGCAACTTTTACCTTTTAGTAATATTATTATCATTATCCACATGCGATTCATTTTTATATGCTGACTGGTTTGTTTTTATTTACGTGCTTTGCTAGGTTAATTTTTCTATATGTATTGCTTGAATACCAAAATTAAGTTTTTGTAAACATCTAAATAGGAGATGAACAGTAAATTAATAAACAGGATACAAGGATTGTTACAAAAGTTCGCCAACCAATTGTAATGCAATTACCCTATTATCACTAAATGAATAATGTTTTGCAAGGAAAATTATAGTACTTTTCTGCAAATACTAAGATTTCCAATTTTCAATTGAGCTGTAAAATAAACAGCAATAATACTGTAAAGTAAAATCATTGTTTTGTTTTATTAAATTCAATAGATTGGCCTAAAACAAACAACTCGATCGCTAGATAAAAATCATACCCAGCCATGAATCATAAGGGTTCCTCCATATCTTATAATTGGTCATCATGAGTACATTATTTTTCTTAAAAATCACTGTTGATATTGAAATGATGCTAGATTTCTTCGTAGACAACATTTATGTCGCCTTTGGAGACCACTTCCGAGGACCAAAAAATTTGAGAACAGACTGATATATAATAAAGTCAAAATACCAAATTTGAAAATCTTTTCAAATAATCGAGAAAATTAAGTTAACTTTACACTGTGTATTTGTTTAGGAGTATTTTAGGAACTTGAATCTTTCCAAACGCGGTTGTTTAATTTAAAATTAAGTTTGTCTTTTGTAATAAATGCCTGGGATAGTTTTTTTTGTCCTATTTGTGAATAAGTTTAAGAATAGTTTTTTTTTTTATTTCTCAATGAAAGTTTCAAAAAAATGGAATTAAGAGTGACAAATTAATGTGGTTACAGCTCTGATCGTTTGGGAGCTCCGCGATTGCTCTGCTCCCGATTTGTATTGTTTAAATTGACTTTTCGCTATCTCCATTTTGCATTACAGAAAGGTATATTTGTGAACATCATAGAAACTTGGCAATTTCTTCAAAATCTTTAGAAATCTCTTATTTTACATCATTAACAACCAAAGAAAGATCCATAAAAATACCAATCTACTGAGTCCAGGTATACACTGTACATATTTTTGTTAGTATCATTTTTTTCTTAAGTCCACTCCTATTTTATGTTTTTTGGGCGAAATCTTCCAACAAACTGTTGGAAATGCGATAGACACTTACTGCACTGCGCTCCATTATTAAGTGATCTGTTTTCTATATTCGTATCAAGCAGAACTAATTCAAAAACTTCTACAGGAGAAGGAGAAACACTCGCCTTTGCCCTTAACATGACATCACCATATATCGACCTACATCAATATATAGTCCCATGCGAGACACAGTGCGTACAAATTCAGCAATGTATATTTTAAAATGGATATGGAATCACTTACCTTCGGTTGCATTTTAATTGTCCAACGGTCGTGAAAACCAATTGTCTCCTTTTTGTCATTGATGTTAGAAATCTCAATTAAAAAGTAAATTACAAAAATCAGCCACTTTGTAAAACGGAAACAAATCGATATGGAGACTTCGCTAAAAAATCTGGAATTTCCTTAACCATAGATTACAAATTGAAATAATATTTAGCAAAATTCATGGCATGCTATAAAGATAGATTTATCCGAATGTTTTTTTTAAACCCCTTTCTCTTTATCAGATTATTCCCTTTGATGTTTTGATTTTTTAAATATCTTTGACTACCTACAAGGAATAATATTTTCCAATAATAATAAGAACCTTAAAAACTATTACAAAAGATTTGTAAAGTAAAGTTTAGAGATAAAAGGAGCTTATTAGCAAAATTTACATTATTTCAACATACTTTAGGTAATACAAATAAGCCACAATGCCATCTACTCAAGAGATAATAATTCGGATAATTATTTGAGGTTGATGATTAGTTAGACAATAAAGCATACCTTATCTTCTAAGTCTTCTACAATTATATTCCCATTTTGACTTTCCTAGAATTATAATAACATTTAAATATTATTTTTTTCCATATTGAAATAAAACGTTAAACATAATATTGATAAGACAGACACTTTACCTGATTTGACATTTGTTGGGCTTTAGAAGATGCAGTTTTTCCAGCAATGCGTATTAATTTCACGTGTCTCTTCGCATTGTTTACAAGAACCTTACGGCTATTCGCGCGAAATTCCATGTCCCCGTACTTCTGATAGGCACGCCGCACAATAGAAGACACACCGTAGTTAAATCCACGGTAAAGGATCCATGTATCTAGAGAAAAAATAAGGATAACAAAATGTAGGCTTTCTTTCTCGATGTAATCCAAAGCTTAGCCTGGCAGAAAGACGTCTGTTGATCTCTGTACATTTTGCTATGAAAGTGATTAATGTATAATCTGAAGAACATAACATTTTTATTATTACCTTATTAATTCCTTATCGGCAAAGGAAGCTCACTCCTCCTTGGCACATGATCCCACCTCTGATGTTTTTAGGGTTTGCCCTGCTTCTGATCTGTATTGTTAGAATGAACGTTTGAGCTTGAATACTGTTCGTTATCTCCATATATTTCACTTATTCTGATTTGGAACAGTAGCATTATTTAAATGTTAACATATTAGGAGGTGACTCTTCCATTTCAAGGCGATCTGAATCAGAACTAATAATCCTGAATCGGTCAGCTGTAACTTTATCATGGTAGGCTTTGGCAAAAAAAAGCCTCTTACCTAGGACCAATTATTTGGTGATTCACCAAAAATAGGTTATGTCTGTACAATGAGTAAAAATTAACCGAAAGAGACGTCCAAAAGGTAACTATACAAATTCTTTTTTAAAAAAAAGGAATTTAATATTCGGAATATTTCTTCACGAATATCCACTGTATTTTGGCATCACTATTTTTTTTATATTTATTAAATATCAAACAAAAGTTTTGGAAAAAGAGACCAACTGTAAATCCAAATATCAAGAGAGCAATGGAAATGTTATTAGGTTTTACAGACATCTTTTACCTCACAAACATATGCTTGAGTATGGACCTAGGACGTCAATTCCTTAATCAAGACAGTCTACTTGCAAAACAAATGATGTTTCATGGGTTTCGACGATCTCGGTATAAATCTACATTTCAAAAATTTCCATCAGGGGTATAATTAAATTGGCAATCACAACCTATCGCATTTTGACTTATATATTTAAATCTGATTGTTAGACTTGTATTTTTACGCTAAATTTGAATACGAATTATTTCACTACCTGATTTATACATGAGGCTTACGGTTAACAGGGAGAGCCGTCTCCTGCTATAAACCTTATTCCTTCTCAATAGTTTCCAAAGGTCTGTTTACACACTATACATATATTTATGTAAGTTTTAAGATTTTTTAAACCGAGCACTCATTTTTATCTACTTTGTAAACTCTTGTGGCCAGTGGGTTGAATTTTTATATCATACCTACCCCCTCCATTTTTAGCGGCCTCAATCAACGCTGTTTGGAACACCGATTTTGCCCATGGAATGGGAACAAAGCTGTCGGAATCTCCTATGACTGAAAATACCATTGAAGGAGTGGATCCTACTTTTTCTATAATTTCTGTCCATGCTTTTTCAACATCAGACTTTTTCATTGAACGATACAAAAAAGATAATGGAACAAATAAACATAAAGAATATCAAGAATCAGCATGATAATTTATCTCTGAGGATAACAATGCCTATAAATAACGCGAGAAACTTTTTCGAATAAAAATAACAATATTTTAAGTATGATAAGGAATCTTTAGGAAAAATAATTTCAACCAATTCCATTTCTTAGAGATGACAAAATCACATTTATGATATTAAAATCATTTTGATGTTAAAAATTACTTTGGTGCCTATGAGGCGCAGTGGTGAAAGCTATTGTTCTAGATTCGCAATGTTAAAAGTTTAACAAATCTAACACTGCTGATATTAGCTTCCCTTTCTTTCCATTTTTCCTAGTCTCCAATACTCTTATCTAATTTTACAAGGCTTATTTTATTATAATTTTCTTTTGTTTAACATTTTACAGTTCTCACCTTTAGAGCATGGCTTTCTTCGCCTGGCTTTATAGACATTTTTTTTATACTAGAGGTCGTTGTTCATGTAAAAGCTGTAAAAAGTAAATTAACCTTATTAAAAAATAAATATCTAATGTTAATTCTACGCTCCACGTCACCCGTGCAAGTAAGTTCCGATTAAATTGACTTATTGATAAATAAAAAAAAATAATAAACGCTTGTAACTTTTTCTTCATTTTTGTATTTACATGTACTTACTTTAAGCACCTAATGACCTTCTCGCGAGAATAAGGTGTTGCGAAAATTTAGTGATGTACAGTTTAGAAATCCCTTTTTTATAGAAAGCATACAGTAAAGGCATGAAAAAGTTAATTTTGCTATTTGTGAATTTCAAAAGACCGTTTTCATTTTTATTTATTTTGTTATTACTGTCTTCTTCTCTTCTTTGAAATACTTGTTTGTGTTTTGTTTATTTATTATCCTTATTTCCTTTTCATAGTACACTCCATACTTGATTTCAACGATTTGTTTCCGGGATGATGCTTCCTATTTATAACTCCATATAATATAAGGTCATTTTGTTCCAGCATTTTTTTAAGAAATGACTTAAGATAGAATGAAGATGATTTTGGGGAAAATAAAGATTTTTTTTTTGTCCTATGCGGAACTCTTTTTTGTGTTTTTGCATCCTTCATTTCCGGTTGACCCAATGAAGAATTAAGCGTTTTGTTTTTTCCAAAGACTTTTGAAGGAATACATATAGAACTAATTGTCTTATAAAAGAATGAAAACAAAAGGAATTCATCGTAATGAGATCGGAAAAAGTCGAAAATTGAAACTTTTATTCTTTAAAATCTTTGTAAATAATATTAAATGATTTGTAAATGAGGAGTATTTTTATGGTTTTTGTCACTCTCGATTTCAACCGAAAATGACGCTGGATAAGTCCAAATTGATACCGAAACGTCGAGAAATGGATTTTTTGAGTTATTTTCAATAATCTACCTAAATTTTATTCTTATCAGTATAAAAAATCTAAACACATTACTATCAACGTATGTCAGAAGACCTACTCGTAGTATTTTGATGATAATGGTAATGATGATGATTATTTTTGTAATTATTATTATTATTATTATTGAAAGATTATTTTCATGATGTTGTATTTTTAATCAAAACTCGATGAAAAATGCAGAACTCAATATTCTTTATCAATGATTTAACATATTTAAACAAATACATAAAAAAAAATTTTAAAAAAAATTTTAAAAAATTAAAAAAAAAAAAAAAAAAAAAAAAAAAAAAAAAAAAAAACCTACAGAGAAAAGAAAAAACGTTTGGAGGCATATAATCCTTTTAAAATTTTATTTTCGTTTCAGTTTGGAATTATAATAAATAAATGTTTTTTACCTTTCTGTCACGCCTTGTTGTTAAATTGTTCTCCCTCAAACTTATATATCTGGCTAACGATTGGGATTAAAGAACGTGTGTATAAAACTAAAACAGATCATGTACTTTTTTTAAGTCAGTAAAATATATGTCTCTGATAAGTCATTAATTAACAAATAACAATTAAAAAATAGATTAAAAGAGTTTGAGTGGTGGTTTAAATGTCAAAATATACGTGTCATCTCAGTCGATCAACAGATAACTAGGTTCTTTTGTTAATGAACAGCTAGAGTTGCAAATCACTCCATTCTGTAGGCGATTTAAACCATTATCATAAATAAATGCTTTGAGGTGCACGCAAGATATTTAAGGGATGAAGGACACATGGTCACATGACTCAGTTTAACTACGTCATAGTCTCTGATAATAAAAGTGCAAAACCTGATTTAAACCATCTATACTTGTGTAATTGTTTGACAATTTGTTTTACTGCAGCATCTTATAGAAAAATATTTAAAAAGTTTTACCTTTATGAAAATATTAACAAACTACAGAATAGATTTATCCATTCTGTTTAAGAATGATACAGAAATAAGTAAATATTGTGAAATAATCTTAAGTGAGGCAGGTTTTCCTTTTATATAAAAATACTTAAGACACAACACTCTTTGATCATCAGAAACTTACAAATTATTTCACAAGAATTTCATTTTCATTCGTATTTAGGAAAATAAATTCTCTTTATTATGTACCACATGGAAAGTTTAATACATGGTTTGTTACAATATCTTACATGTTGTAATGTAAAAGTGAAGATAACGAACAGTGATTAATCTAAAAATATCTATCAACAATTCAAATTTATGAAGAGGGCATTAAAGACGGACCCCTGGAAATTCCAGAGATGGGATCAGGTGCTTAGGACGAGTAAGCATCCCCTGTTGACCGGTTTTCCCCACCATAAACCCTGTGTATTGATCAGGTAAACGAAACTTTCCCTAGTCAAATTCAGTATAAAAACAAAGCCTAACAATTGGTTTGAAACAAGTCAGCAAAAATACGACTAAATAAAAGGTCATATTTGCTAACAGGGTCATTAAGACGACAAGGAATTTACGAAATGCCGACAATGAAGGAGGTTGTTGAAATCCCTGTAACATCAACTTATCAGTGAGTAGCATGTCTCACTTTAAATATTGATCATACTCAGAGCAAGCTCTTGAGATGCGAATAAGTTGGAAGATATAAATAGCATAAGCAGGTGACAGTGGAATATTACTACATAAATAAGGAAGGTAGAGGATGGAAAATATAAAGTTATCTTGCTTGTCATACAATTTAGTTGTTAGTTGGTCTTCCTTGTCAGACTTTTCTGTTTACACGATCATGACAACTCAGCTATGTTAAGGAAGGAAATAGAAAAATGCGATCCTAATACCTTCTTAACACGTATTATTTTTAACAATCTTTGGTACAAAGTAACTGTATACATGTAGAAAAGGTAATATAGATATCCATATTGGATAGGTTTGTGCCTTACTCCTTACCAGTTACATCGCATGTAAAAGTTATCTGTCACGTGACTGGTATAAAATTAGAATTGTTCAGCTGAATATAGAAATGAAATATATGGCGATAACGAACAGTATTCAAGCTCAAATGTCCATTAAACATTACAAAATAGGAGCAGAGCAAACACGGACCTCCAAAACATCAGAGGTGGGATCAGGTGCCATGAAGGAGTGAGCATCCCCTGCCGACCGGTCACACCCGCCGTGTGCTCCTTGTCATGATCGGGAAATAACGGAAAAATCCATCGACAATTCAGTGTGTAAATAATGGCCTAACAATTAGTATTAAAAACGTCAGTCAGCATTTGACTCAATGATAAATTGTATTTGCTGACAAAGTCGTAGACCATAGAACTTACGAAATGATGATTTTAAACGAGACTGCTGATATTCTTGTTTCATCAACTTGTTTGTCAATAATTTTCCTCGTTTTAGAAATTGTACATACGTAGAGAATGCTCTTTCGTATCGAAACAACTGAGAGACATAAACCCCGTATGCAGGTGATGAAGGTATATTGCTGCATAAGTAAGGGAAGATGACGATTGAAAAGTTAAAGTCAGCACGTTTATTATGAAGCTTGGTTGTTAGATTAGCATTAACGTCTTTTTCAAGTAAAATATCCAAATATGAAACAGATGTGTCAGTCTCTGTGGTATCTTTTATCTCAAGATCACCTGGATATATCGTATCGACATAAGAATGGAAATAACCATTGTTAATTGACAATACGTCGTCGATAAACCTAAATGTCGAGTTGAAGGCCACAGCAAGTGTTTTCTTCTTTTCACGTATAAGATTTTGGACAAATTCTGCTTCATATGAATACAAAAAAAGGTCTGCTAATAACGGGGTGCAATTGGTACCCATAGGAATTCCAATAGATTGTTGGAAGACCTGGTCTCCAAAACCACATAGATATTGTCAATCAGAAACTCAAGCATCTTATTAATGTCAACTTCAGAGTACTTGTGTGTACAATCAGAAAGTTTTTTAAACAAAATAATTTTGCAAATGACCAATGACAAGGTAAGTAAATTTATGAGTTCCATTTTTATCGGAAAAGCAGCTGTCAATGATATCAAAAAGACTGGACTTTAATTTATCGTGGGAAATGGTTGTGTATAAAGTTGAAAAGTTGTAAGTTTTTAAGCTGTTGATTTTGACAAAATCTTGTGATTTCCAATTTTCCAAAAGTTCCTTGGAATTTTTAAGTATCCACATCTGATTTAGTTCCATTTTTATTGAAAAAGCAGCTATCAATGATATTAAAAACACTGGACTTTAATTTATCTTAGAAAATGACGCTAGTGCAAGGGTTTACGCATGGTTTTGGAGAAAAAAAATTATACATATTAAAAAAGGATTTACATCGGCATCCTGAAAAGTGCTAGGAGCTAGTTTGAGCTGTTTCGGAAATACTCGTAATGTTGACGAAAATGCATATACGAGGGGTGATCAAAAAGCTCGCGAACTAATTGAATTACTTCCTTAAAAGAAATAAAATGAGGTTTCAGTGCTCATTATTTTTTTAAAGTAGTCCTCTCCGATTATAATGCACATCTGTCATTGTTCTGTCCATGCGCGAATCACGCGATCCAGGCGGTCACGTCACTTGCTCCGTGG